TTTACCGGAGATTAGTGTTAACCAGACATTGAGTAACCGGCCCTTAGTCTAACTTACTTATGTCTACGTTGCAGATCCCACCACCAACCGCATTTCGTAATCGATGAGTTGCGCGTGTAGGCCAATATTGCTTATTATTTACTTAAGAAAATGTGAAGCAAAATCTAAACTCAACAGATCGCTAAGTTCATAAAAGTTCTGCTAATTTCTGGGTATCGGAATACATACAAAATACATACAAAGTACATACGAAATTACAGTTTGAAGTTTATGCGAAGTTGTGCGAAGTTATGCGAAGTATGCATAATCAGACCATTACCGATCGCTTGCGCGTGTGCTAAGTCAGCGAAAGTGCTATTTGGGGCAATGAAGAAGTCACATGCACGGCAACGTGAGTAAAGGGTGCGCCATTGGTTAGTATTGGGATTACAGGTGTGATAACTTTGATGATTCATTCTATCTGGAAAAAACGATCGGAAATAGTTTTAATAAAAATACAATAAATATTTCTTTGAACTTTGGGCAATGTGAGTATTAAGCTGCTTCGAAATATCAAAAATTTCACCGGAAATATAATAGGGCCAGAAGCTCGTTAAATATATCGATCATTTACTTCAATATTGTCATAACTCAAAAAACCGAAAACTCGATAAAAATGGCTGTAAAGCTTTTAATTTACATATACTTCCATAGTACAAATGAATACATATTTTTTTCCAGTGAATAACTGGTAATCGGTACAGCTATGACATTTTTACACCACACAGAAGAAGAAGTAGCGTTCGTTTCCGCTACTTAACTAGATTTTTTATTATTATATCTTAACACTATTGAAGTAAATGACCGTTGTGTATAAAAAAGCACGCATGAAAAATTGTATGTCGATCGATGAAGATTCATCGATCTTGGGGCATCTTAAATAATACACAACTATAACATGTCAATTAGCTTATTTTGCATTGAATATGCATTTACCTTCTAGTTCTTGGAATTTTTGATCAATTTTGTCCCCTAACCTTTTACAATTTTCACATCGTTTTTCACCTGTAATAAAATGAAGTTAATACGTAAAACCTGGAAATCTTAAAAGTAGTAAATATTTACCTTCGAGTAGAATCAGTTCGTCCTTTGAGTTAAGGTGCTTCAATGCTCGATTTTGCATTTTCGGGATTTCCCTTGAAAAATGTTGATAAAAAAGGTTAGTAAGAGTTTTATATAACTTATATATGTGTACATGCAGTTTGGTTTTCGATTGTTTCATTTAGTTATGTTTGTTTAAAAGCAGCCATGTAGGATTGGAACTAACAAAATTTTGTTCTGATATGGTAAGCCTATACATTTGTATTTACTTTTGGATGTGGGAAAACTCTCCTCTAAGTCATTAATATTTTCATCGACTAAACATATTCCTAAAAGCTTTAACGAATCTATAGGCTGACTAAAAAAACGCGTTTGATTTAGGTTTCGCTTTCCGGTTACAAGAAATTGTGACCTGAAAATTTTGGGACTTATTCCTCTTATTAGGGTGTCGCTACCTCTGAAAAGGATACGACGGAAATCACGCTGCTACAGCTTTTGAGTTTTCCTGAAGGATCATTATTCTTAATTGAAATATTCTTCTTAGTCAAATATTAATTATTGTTATTATTTTTAATTTATTATTAGGAACACAAATACGTGAGTATAGCTAAAACTGTTTTACGACGATTAAAACTTGTTAATTTTGTTTGTTAAAATTTAAAAAAGAATGTTTATTTTCCGTCTCTGGTATTTTTGATGCCCTCCGCGTGGTTATAAAGGCGGAGTTTTAATCATTTCGCCGCCGTATTTCTCCTATCCATTCGGCTTTTTTCGTACGAGCTAACGAATGCTGAAAGTAAACAAAAACTGAACTGATACCCACTGCATCACCAAGACTGCTCATCGTAGTGGCACTCTTTTCTCCTGTCAATTTACACTTTATGGCAAATTGTCACCGTTTGCCTGAAGGGTAGTGGTCCGAGTCGATGTTTGGTCCTCGGAGTGTGCGTCCGTCTAAAATTCTTGAAGCATGCCTTCCGTCTATCACAACATGATCGATTTGGTTTCTCGTTTTTCGATCTGGAGACAGCCATGTAGCTTGGTGTATGTTCTTATGCTGAAACCTGGTACTACATATTACCATGTTTCGAGCCCCGGCGGAATCGATCAGCCTCAATCCGTTATGGGACATTTCGTCGTGGAGGCTGAATTTTCTAGCAGTGGCACCAAAGATCCCTTCTTTGTCCACCTTGGCATTAAAATCGCCAAGCACGATTTTGACATCGTGTCGGGAGCAGCGCTCATATGTACATTCCAAGCACTCATAGAAGAGATCCTTGGACGCCTCATCCTTCTCTTCCGTCGGGGCATGAGCGCAGATAAGCGAGATGTTGAAGAATCTAGCTTTGATGCGGATTGTGGCTAGAAGTTCGTCCACCAGGGTGAACGCCAGCACTCTCCGACGGAGTCTCTCTCCTACCACGAATCCAACACCGAATTAGCACTCCTTTACGTGGCAACTGTAGTAGACGTCGCATGGCTTCACGCTTACTTTTCTTTGCCCTGCCCATCGCTTTTCTTGGATGGCGGTGATGTCAGCCTTTGTCTTCCCGAGGACATCAACCAGCCGGGCAGAGGCACCTTCCCCGGATATTCCAGGTGCATACCCTTAAATCATAGTCCTTTAGATGCTTGCCGTGATCGTCCTCAAAAAAAAGGGGGTCTCATCCGACGCTGTTTGTTCTCTTTCATTGGGCGGGGTTTTAACGTGGCGGGACCCAAACCCAGCGCACGTGAAGTTTTACGCCTTCTCACCAAACGGATGATTGGTTGCTACCCAGAGGATACGTGGATATAAATATCTGGACGTTGTGGGCTGCAATGTGAGCCGTACGCACAAGAATCGCTTCTGGCCATTCCCAGGTGAATAGCAGTCAAAAGTTGTCCACTTCTGCGCACGGAACCATCCTCCATCCATGTATGTACATATAACAACCATTATAAATTTTCAAAAGCTTACTTATACTATGTCTCCATTGAGAGATTTATCCATTAAGATTTAATAAATCCAGTTGCTAAATCACAACCGTCTCCATTACCATTACGAGATCTGTTTGACGTTCACATTTTTAAATATTTGACGTTTACTTATGTATGATTTTACAAATACAATTGAGGACATTGATATACAGACAGATAAAAGGAAGGTACCAAGCGGAATTT